TCATCCAGCCCTGCACCTTGTTGTCTCGGATTCTCCAGCATCTGCAGTTCCTACTATCTCTGATTCAATTAAAACTTAAGCAGTTGTGATCACTGTATCCAAAATGCCTTCTCACTGAAAGATCAATCACCTAACCAGGCTCATTAACCAATACCAGGTCCAGTACGGCCCCTCCTTTAGTTGGACTATTCACACACTGTTTCAAGAAACCCTTTAGGAGGCACTTAACAGATTTTGCCCCATCTAAGCCTCTTGCTCTAAGGGAGTCACAGTCAATATTGGGGAAGTTAAAGTCACTAACTATAACAACCCTGTTCTTATTGCATCTTCCCATAATCTGCCTACATATTTGTTCCTCAATGTCTCGGTGGCTTTTGGGGGCCTGCAGTATAATCCTATTAGAGTGATTGCACCCATCTTATTTTTGAGCTCTACCCATATTGCCTCATTGGATGAGCCCTCCAGTAGGTCCTCTCTGAGTGTGGATGTGACATTGTCCCTGATTAGGTTTCAGATCTGATGTCATAGATATCCTGACGACTGATTTCCTGATGATGCTTTCACTGCCCAACCGTCTCTGCTTTGAGCAATGCTGTGAAGGGACTGGATGTCTTCCAACAGTGGTGCAGTTGTTCCTTGGGTGATGGTCAGGGTCTGTCTGGGATGTCTATCCTCTCTGTATTCTTTAGTTAGTGTGGTGCACTCCTGTAAAATGATTTCCTTTAACTTCCTCTCCTCCTTTACGAAAAAGACTGACTTCTCAGTTAGAGACTGTTCCACAGTGAGTGCCAGTCTGCTATTCCCTTATGTGGGGAACAGATGCATTACCTTTCTTTTTCCTCACTTGACTGTCACACATTCTCTGTTTCCAGCAGAAACACTGAATAGTGATCACAAGGAGACAATGTGGCTCCTTTCTTTCCTCTGGCCAGCAGCACCCCATCTCCCGAGATAACATGAGGTCAATGGAAAGGACAGTTGGGCAGAGAATAAGACTGGCTCTTAATTCATTATTAGCTTGAGTTGTGCTGGCAATGACCAATTTTACCTTAGAATATGCGTTCAATATATAAAACATTCAAGAAAAGTTGTAATGATTCCAGCTGATGTTACTACTGGGCAGGTGAGATCCGCCGAATGAAACCTGATTAATAGATTTTTTTTTTCAATTTAACACATAAGGAGTTTCTCTAAATTTCAAAATGCAGAGAAATTCCTTCCCTCTCAAAACTGCAGTTTTGACTTAGCTGCTTCCCCTGGTTGAAGTCCTGTTATTTGTGAGGCCTATTCCCTTGACCAACCAAACAATTAGTGTTTCTCAGTCTTTAATAACCTGCAGGGTTCTAACAAACACATTTGGTTTAGATAGAGTCATACAGCATGGAAACAAACCTTTTGGTTCAACTCGTTCACACTGACCAGACATCCCAATCTGCCCTAGTCCTATTTGCCAGCATTTGGCCCATATCCTTCCTATTCATATATCTGTCCAGATGCCTTTTAAATGTTGTACTTGTACCAACCTCCACCACCTCCTCTGGCAGCTCATTCCATACACTCATTCCATATACTCTGTGTGAAAAAGTTACCCCTCTGGTTTTTTTTAAATCTTTGCTCTCTCACCTCAAAACTCTGGAATCAATCTGGCGAATCTCCTACAAACTGCTTCAAATGCAACTATATCCCTTTTATAAAAATTAATTCACAACACATGGGCATTGCTAGCTAGTGGGCAGTTAATAATCAACCACATTGAAATATAGGCCAGATCTGGTTCTCCTAGTGGAGTCGTGGAAAACTA